GGTCTACAAGAGCGAATTCCAGGATAGCTAGGCCTGTTACACAGTAAAATCCTTTCTTAAAAAAAAAAAAAAAAAAAGGCAGGCCAGAGAGGGCATCAGGTGAGTGTGATGAGCTTGCGAGGCACCTCCATGTGTGTTGGGAGCCCAGCTCACATTCTCCGCAGAGCACTGCTGCTGCATGCAAGTTCCACACATGCTTAACATTCAGGGACACCCATATTGGGGGGCTCTGAGGTCCAGCCTCAGTACCCCCTCAGGGTTCAGAACAGCAAGGGAAAACTGGCTGAAAAGGATCTGAGAGTGAACAAACCAGCCCCAACCCGTTTCCTCCTCATGTCTCTCTAGTCTTTGAAAAAAGGGGTTTGCTCCCCACAAGGCTTCCACCAGACCAAATTTGCAATTCTTTAGGTAATAGCAATGATACCGAGCATGCCTTTCAGAGACCCACGAAAACTGACTGACAAAACGGGCGCCTGTTAGCTTACCACTGCCGCGGGGGGCGTGCCCGTGAAGCTCCCTGCTTTAAGTCCCAGCACCCAGCACCCACATGGCAGTTCACAACTGTAGCTCCAGTTCCAGGGGATCTGGCGTCCTTCCATAGACATACATAAAGGCAAAACGCCAATGCAAATAAAAAGAAAATAAGTAAATAATAAAACCAAACGTATTCCACAAAGAACGCCGCTGGCCAGACAGAAAACGGAACGATCTTCCCAAAAAGGGCTTTTAACCGAAAAGCACACAGGGAGCTGATATGGAGGTTGAGGTGGCCCAGCTTCTTGGATGTGCTGTGTGGCATTTGACCAGCATGTCCTGTGCCTCATTCCTAGGTGCCCAAAGTGGAGGAGAGAGACACCCTGGTGCCCATGCAGAAGGCCACAGATAGTTTTCACCCAGAGCCCCGGCGGGTGGCTTTCTGGATCATGAAGATGCCAAGGCGGAGGACCCAGCCAGACGTCCAGGATGGGAGCCGCTGGCTCATAGAAAAGCGACATCGCTTGCAGGCCATCCGGGACGGGCTCCGTGGAGGTGCACATGAGGACAACCTCAAGGAAGAGGTCCGTGTCGCCCAGCACGCCAAGCTACCTGTACGAAAGACACACTTTCTCTACATCCTCAGGCCGTCCCAGCAGCTGTAGGGGGCCAATGTCCCTGCATAGTCCTTACCTACCCCAGCACCATATGGAAATAAAGTGTTTTCTTCAATCTAGCATTTTCTCCTTTTGATATCTGTTCCCAGCAAAGCCACAGTAGCCACTTCCTCTAAGACATGCATGTATTCAACACACACATTGAGCTCTGCGTGTGGCTGGACCAGCTCTTGCCTGCGTCCCATTCAGAACACTCGCCATCTTGGTCAGGGTTTGCACTGCTGTGACAAAACACCAGGACCAAAGAGCACGTGGGGGGGAGGTGGCGTACACTTCAGCATTGCTGTCCATCACTAAAGGAAGTCAGGATAGAAACTCAAACAGGGCAGAGGATCCTGGAGGTGGGAGCTGATGGAGGGGAGCTGCTTACTGGCTTGCTACCCAGAGCTTGCTCAGCCCACCTCTTTCTTTTCTTTCTCTTTTTTTTTCCCTAGAGACAGGGTTTCCCTGTGAAACAGGCCTGGCTATCCTAGAACTCACTCTGTAGACCAGACTGGCCTCCAACTCACAGAGATCCACCTGCCTCTGCCTCCTAAATGCTGGGATTAAAGGTGTGCGCCATCTCTTGGCCTTTAGCCCACCTTCTCATAGAAGCCAGGACCAACAGTCCAGCACCACCAACGATGGGTTGGCCTCCCTCCCCTTCCTCCCCTCCATCACTGAACACAAAACGAGAGAATGCCTTACTGCTGGATCTATCTTGAGGAGGCATTTCCTCAGCTGAGCCTCCTTCCTCTGATGATGACTATACTTGTGTCAAGTTGACACCCAAACCATTTCTTGGTTGGGCAACTTGGTCTCCTATGACACCATGGTGTGCACCTGGTACTGAAGCCTTTGATCCAGCACATCTGCCCTTTCAAGCCCCAAGTTTTTAAAGGAACCGACCTGCCAAGCCACACCAGCTTTTTTGAGTTTGGTTTTTGTTTTTTTGAGACAGGGTTTCTCTTTAGCTTTGGAGGCTGTTCTGGAACTAGCTCCTGTAGAACAGGCTGGTCTCAAACTCAAAGAGATCGCCTGCCTCTACCTCCCAGTACTGGGATTAAAGGCATGTGCCACCACTGCCCGGCCCAAAATATGTTTTTTTAGATTTTACAAAATTACCAGAGATCTTACAAAAGGAAAAACAAATATTGAAAGGTTAATATTTGTAAACATAAAAATGTTTCTTGTTAAAAAATATGAATTTTGTTTAAAATTTTATTGCTAAAATTTTTATTTTTTATTCTTATTTTTGGTTTTTCAAGACAGGATTTCTTTGTGTATCCCTGGCTATCCTGAAACTCACTCTGAAGATGACTCCGGCCTCAAATTCAGAGAGATCCGCCTACCTCTGCCTCCTGAGTGCTTGGATTAAGCTGTGTACTGCCACCACCTGGCTGAAAGATTAATATTTGTAATTTATTTGTATCACTGTTTCGTCTGCATGTATGTCTGTGCACCATATGTGTGCCTGGAGTTGGGAAGAAGAGCATCAGAGCTGTGGAGAGTGGAGTTACAGACCTGAGCTGCCATGTGGTGCTGGGATTCCATCCCAGGTCTCTGGAACAAAGCCACTGCCCTTGACCACTGATCTACCTCTACAGTCTCAGGAATAAATTGTGCTAATAAATAGTTAATAGTGTCCACCATGCCCCACAACCTGTGCTGAAAACAGTTGGCATACCTTTTTTTCAAGATAAAGTGTCTTCGTTTGCTTTCTATTGCTTGGACAAACACTATGATCAAAAACAACTCAGGGAGTAAAGGGTTTATTTCATAGTACAACTCTCAGATCACATGCACTGCGAGGGAAATCATGCAAGTGCTCAAAGCAGGACTGAAGCAGAGGCCACTCTCACAGAGACCCACCTGCCTCTGCCTCCCCAGTGCTCCACCTGTCCCTGCCTCCCCAGTGCTCCACCTGTCCCTGCCTCCCCAGTGCTCCACCACCTGTCCCTACCTCCCCAGTGCTCCACCACCTGTCCCTACCTCCCCAGTGCTCCACCACCTGTCTCTGCCTCCCTAGTGCTCCACCCCCTGCCTGCCTCCCCACTGCCTCTACCTCCCCAGTGCTGCTCCACCCCCTGCCCAAGTCACTGGCAGCTGAGCTACATGTCCAGCTCCGATCATTAACTGCATTTATGTGTTTTTAAACAAGGAGTAGGAGGGTACACACATGACATAGTATGGCATGGATTCAGAGGACCTCCTTCCACCATGTAGGTTCTAGGGATTCATCCCAGGTCACCAGGATGGGTGACAATATCTTCACTCGCTGAATCAACTCACCAGCTTTATTTTTTGGATATTCTCACTACGTAATTGGGCCAGCCTAGGACCTCGTAGACCAGGCTGACCTCACTTTCCTCAGTCTTCCTGCCTCTGCCTCCTGTGCACTGACTGTTATGCCCAAATCACAGAGTCCCCTGCCAAAACCGAGCAAAGAACCTTTATTCTTACACAAGTTCGTGAACTCAGACTCCCCGGTAATGGATTGGAGAGCCCAAACTCAGTTGGGGTGGGGTTTTTATAATAGCAGAGGTGGGGTGAGAGACCCCTGATTGGCTGACATTTGTCTAGAAGTGTCCTGGTGGAAAATGATGGGTGTATGGGTGTGTGCTGGCAGGTGATCCTATCTACAACACTTGGAATGTTAGGAATTTCCTTTGGATGGTCTGTTCCTGGGTGGTGCCTGGGTGGTCTAAGCTGTCTTTCTTGGAATCAGGTATTGCCTAGGGTAAACTACCAAGACTCAGGCCTCTACTAAGACTCTTGGCTGCATCCTACCCTGACAATGCCCAACTAAACAAAAAATGGTAAGCACCTCGTCATTCTGTTAGTGCCCATTTTGGGTAGAGCTCCTGAACCCTGGAGCGGCGTTTACGAATATCACTTGATGGACGGAACAGATTAAGCAGACCCAGAGGCGAAGGAAAGTGCGACAGGAGGACCGTGGTTTCTGAAGTGACAAACGGAAGAGCGGCTGGAGTCTTCCGTTCCAAATATTTTTGGGAATCAGTCCAGTCACCTGCACCTTCTTCACTGCCATGGGGGGGAAAAAGCCCTCCTTCCTCTTGAATTCCCATTCAAGGTTTGATGGGCTGAGGCACGGTGATTGCTCCATGTTCGATAATAGCCTGGACTAAATAGCTAGGCAATGTCTCAATAAATAAGAAAGTAAATAAGTTATAAATTTTGAAGGAATGCGGATTGGGTACATGTTAATGCCAGAGGAGGGCATGGAGCGGAAGTGAGCTGGACCAGGCTGTGCATCATTGTGACGGTAGCGAGCGGGTCGGACCCAAGAGAAGACACAAAGGACTCGGATCTGTGACTGACAAGAAGCAATGGCTAAACAGGAAGTCCTTCAGTCAAACCCTACCCTGCTATTTCGCCAAGCAGAAGGGGAAGATCCTGTGCCACATAACAGATCTGCCGGTGGTCTAGAGCCAGCAAGGCTCGCTCTACCAGTGCGCATGCGCTCGCTCAGGTCCAAGGGATCCTCCCGAACTAGTCTACGCACGCGCCAGCTCTGGGCTCACGGTAAGGGATCGGCTAGCGTCTTCGACCTGGTGTGCGCCTGCGTGGAGGGGCGGGGCTTGAGGAAGGCCCGGTCATTTGCATTTCTGGCGGGAAAGGCGCGAGCACGCGTTCGCAACCGCCATTAGTCGTCGGTGGCCCTCAGCTGTGTCCCGAGAGGCACGACTCCAGGTATGCCCTGCCTGTGGCGACTTTCCCGAGGGGAGCCACGTCAGCCACACCCGAAATTATTACGGGACTCCCCAGTAACATCACCAGCCAACTCCTTTAAAAAAAAGTTCCCAGTTTTGACCAAAACTCCTCCGAAGTGTATGAAATACCCCTCTTGGAAGCTTTTTATTTTAGTTAGTTGCTTTTGTTTGTTTTTTGTTTGATTCCCGAGACACGGTTTCTCCGTGTAGTTCTGATTGTCCTGGAACTCACTCTGTAGACCAGGGTGGCCTCGAACTCACAGAGATCTGCCTGCCTCTGCCTCCCTAGTGCTGGGATTAAAGGCGTGCGCCACCACCGGCTTTGCTTTGTTTTGCTTTGTTTAGACGGATTTATTTTTATTTTATGTGTATGTGCACCAGTTGCGATCCTGTGGAGACCAGAAAAGGTTGTTGGACCTCAGGAACTAAAATTGCAGATGGTTGTGAGCTGCCTTGTGGGTGGTGGGACGGAACCCAGGTCTTCTGGAAGAGCTGCCTCTCAGGAGCTCTGCTTTGGTGTCTGAGACAGGGCCTCACTGATGCTCAATGTTGGCTCCTGCTGCGTCAGCCTCCTGAGCGCTGATACCACATCATCAGCCAGAATCTTCGAGATAGCCCTTCAGATTCTCCCTCAAAACTCGTCAGAGACTCTTGCTGTGAAATCCAAGGCCTACTGCATACTCTAAAAGTTCCCCGCGGACCCTGAAATCCAGGGGCGCCGTAGGCATGCAGCCCTTGAATTCTAGTTCAGGAACCCTCCCAGACTTCCTCTTAGGATAGGAGGACCCACCCATGTCCAAGGCCTCTCAAACACCCACCAGAAACTTCATCTCCCTACTTCTTGAAGAGATCCTTTTCCCTCCCCTTGACCCTTTTCTGCCTACTGAGTTCCTGAATGTCCCTGAAAGATCTCCCTTCCCCAGTGCCCTCTAAAAGCCCCTGGGCTGGACAGCAGGAGGATCACCACTATGAAGGCCAGCCTGGTCTACCCAGATTCAGAAGGCCTGCTGAAGCTCCAAAAGCCAAATAATAATGTTTCCAGAAAATGCGCAGTTAGTGGAATACAGGCCAAGCAGAGTGGTGGTTGCATTTCATGAGAGACAGAGAGGCAAGCAGGTAGGAACCAAACCCTCTGACCCTTGGCCCTAGGTGCCCTCTCGGCCTCAAAGGTACTGTTGCCTGGCACCTGGGGGAATTGCCCTTTCTCTTGAAGGTGACCCTTACTTTTATTTTCATTTGTTTGGTTGATTGGTCTTTTTGGTTTTTGTTTTTTAAGATAGGGTTTCTCTGTAGTTTTGGAGCCTGTCCTGGAACTAGCTCTTATAGACCAGGCTGGCCTCAAACTCACAGAGATCTGCCTGCCTCTCCCGAGGGCTGGGATTAAAGGTGTGCACCCACCACCACCCAACTGGTTGGGGTTTGTTTGTTTGTTTGTTTGTTTGGGGGTTCTCTTTGTTTTTCAAGACGGGGTCTCTCTGTGCAGTAGTATTGGCTGTCCTGGAATTTACTCTGAAGACCAGGCTGGCCTCAAACTCACAGAGATCCACCTGTCTCTCTGCCTCTCAAGTGCTGGGATTCAAGGAGTGCACCACCACCTGGCGAAAGTGACTCTAACTGACCTGACTGTAAGAGGAGCAACCCAGCCCTGTCAGGGTGCAGAGGAGGGATCCCTATGTTGACAAGGGCCTGTGAGGGTCAGGCTGGGAGCTGGGAACCCAGGGAACAGCAGGCCTGGGGACATGGAGACCACTGATGGAGAGGAAGCATGGCTCAGTGGTTAAGAGCACTTGTTCTGTGTCACCTGGATGGCTCACACCTTTAATCCCAGCACTCTGAAGCAGGTGGATCTTGGAGTTCAAAGCTGGGCTGGTCTTTGTGGCAAGTTCTGAGCCAGTGAGGGCTACAAAGAGGGACCTTGTTTTGTTTTTCAAAAAACAAACAAACCTTAAACACTACTCTTACAAATGACCCAGTTTCATTCCCAGCACCCACATGCAGTCCACAGCCATCTGTATCTCCAGTTCCAGGGGAGCTGATGCCCTCCTCTGGCCGCCAAAGGTATCACACACACACACACAATGCACTCACACATAAAATAAAAAATAAACCTAAAGGGAAAAAAGGCAAGGAAGCAGCAGTCCTGTGATGCATATTCCTGGTGTGGCAGAAAGACCACAGATTCAAGGCCAAGCTGGCCGTCTTAGGGTGGGCTTGTTTCAGTGAGTAGGCTGGAGTCAGCTTAGCAGTAAAGTCCTTGTCTAGAACTGACTAGTGAGGGACTGGTGTGCTTCAGCATACAGCACTTGCCTAGCACCCACCAATGAAAGAATGACAGCGTGGCTTACTGAGAAAAGTCCGTGGAAGAGGGGAGAGCAAGGCTGAAAGTGGCTCAAATCCAGGATCAGATGGGCAGTCTCTAGGCAGTATAGGAGCCTCTTGAGTTTGGTGTTCAGCTCAGGAGGAATGAGCTGTTTCTAGGCAATGAGACAGGAAGGCAAGGAGCTCCCAGACAGAGACCACAGTAGGAGCCACAGGCCACTCTACAGAACGCAATGCAGGTTAGAGCTGCCAGAAGATACAGCATGATCTGGGGAGAGAAAGCAGCTGACCCAGGCCACACTGTGCCTCTGTTGCTAGACCCAAGCAGGTTCTCGCCCCAAGGTGATGGGAAACAATGTCCAGGCAGGTCAGCTCTGGAGGCTGGGCCATGGGCCTGGAGAGAAGGACCTCAGTCAAGACTTGTGAGGAAAAGCCGGGCATTGGTGGCGCACGCCTTTAATCCCAGCACCAGCCTGGTCTACAGAGCTAGTTCCAGGACAGGCTCCAAAGCCACAGAGAAACCCTGTCTCGAAAAACCAAAAAAAAAAGAAAAAGAAAAGACTTGTGAGGAAAGTGAGACCAGCACAAGGCAGAATCGCAAGGACAGGGATGATGACTTGGTGGGGAACAGACTTGGCCACAAGGCCTGGGGCAACAGTTAGCCCCACCCTCTTGCCTCCCCCTTTGATCTTGCTACCTGCTCTCACTGCCCAGGTTGCCATCCCATACCTCAAACCCATAAAACAGGTTGGAGTTGGGGTGGGGATGGCAAACAGGTTCCGAGAACCCTGGGGGCCTGGGGCAGAGATGGAGCAGTTAGAGCACGGCTGGTCAGAGGAAACCATTACTCTGCCTGTCCTTGTAGGAGCTGTCTGGGCAGGCTGCCCCTTTCCCAGCCCTCCCTGCAGCGGAGCAGAGGGGAGAATTTCAGCAGCAGCGACAGAGGTGCAGGAGTGGTCCATGGACCTGCCAGAGGACCCGGCTAGTTCCACTGAACCAAGTAGGTGTCTGCCTGGAAGAGATGGGGTACGTGTCACTTGTGTGCTTGCCACACGTCTGTTCCCATTTCCTCTTCTCTGGAGGGCTACTGGGGACAGGAGGCTCCACACACGTAACGTCCCCCTCTTTCACCAACTCCTCCTGTGCTTGGGTCGTGGGCCAGTGATACCTTTCCTTCGGGTAAAACAAGTGCCCTGACCCTCTCTCTTCTGCTGCACCTTCCCCAACACTGGCATCTGTCTGTCACCTGCTTAGAGCACAGCTCCACAGACCTTATGCCCCTCTTGCCGGTATTCCCCAGTGTGTGTTTGCGCGCATGTGTGTGTGTCCTCATGCACACGCACATATAGACAGTCTTACAATGCAGGAGATGGAATCCAGGGTTTTGTGTGTGTTAGGCAATCAGCACTGAGCTGTTTTTGTTTCTGAGACAGGTCTGGCTTTGCACTTTGACCCCTCTACCTCTTCTTCTCAAGTGTTGAGACTGCATGTGTGTGCCACTGTGCTCAGCTTACAAATATAACTTTTAACTTCTTAAGAGAGAAGAGTTAGCAAGGGACTGTAGTCCTGGAACTGAGGGACTAAGGCAAGATGATGGAAAGGTGAAAGAAAGGTGATATGAACGGTGTTAACTGACTTTATTTAACTCTACAATTACAAACTGTTTTCTGCATTAAGCAGCATAAAAACATGCTGAGTTACTTCTGTGTTTTCAGACATCTTTGAGAGCTGGTGTGTGCTGCTTCCCACTCACAGAGCACGTCGCTCTGTCTTGGCCTGCTCCCGTGCAGTCAGCCTCTGTCTTCTCTCACTCCCCTTCTCTTTCCTGCCCTGTCTCAGCAGCCCTGTTCCCAAGTATCTCTCCTTGCTCTGCTGTCATGGTCTCTTCCCTCACCTCGGCTCTAATTGCTCTCTCTCCATCTCCTGAGGATGCGCTGACAGGGAGAGCCAGTCTGATTAAGAACCTCATTGCAGGAGCATCTTGTCTTTGCTCCTGGGTGTCTGCAAGTGGGCCTGCAGCTTTGCTCGAGGCTGAGAGCTGCACCTCGGCCTCAGGAGTAACCTCTGCAAATAAGGTTTTACAGGTAGTCCCAGCGTGCTAGGACTAGAAGGCAGCCTGGCTTAGGGGGGAATGACTGCCACCTAAACCTCGCCTGCACCAGCAGAGGGCGTGTGGCCACCAGGAACTGTGACTATAGCCAAGTCTACTCCTGAGACTGCCCTGGGAAAGGGAAGAACTCACACAGGAAACGCAAAGGTTGAAAGACAGGGATGGCAAAGGAGAGAGAAGACACTGAAACAAGATGGAGGACAGGAGAAAACAGGATCGAGGGACAGAGGACAGAGGCTGGACATATGAGAGAGGTTGGGGAAGAAGTAGAAGATCCCAAAAGAAAGGTTGAGCTGGGTGGTGGTGGCATACACCTTTAATCCCAGCAAGGCAAGTGGATCTCTGTGAGTTCGAGGCCAGCCTGATCTATAGAGTGACTTCCAGGACAGCCACGGGGACACAGAGAAACTCTTGTCTTAAAAAAGGAAAGAAAAAGAGACTGGAGAGATGGCTCAGTGGTTGAGAGCGCTGACTGTTCTTCCAGAGGATTTGGGTTCAATTCCCAGCACCCACATGGCAGCTCACAACTGTCTATAACTCCAATCCTAGGGGATCCAGAATCCTCACAAAAAAAAAAAAAAAAAAAAAAAAAAGGCTGAAACAGTGTCTTGGGAAGGGGCTACATACCGGTGGCCTTACTTAGCCGTAATAAAGTCCTCCCTTGTAACATGGAGGATAAAGAGCAGTGAGCCAGCCCAAGTCCACCTCCCTAACTAACCTGGGCCCTTTATGCCCTCCCATGGGAGCCAGGAGGGTCCAGGTCAAACCGGTGCCCTGAACCCTGGAAGTGTGAGAGTGAGAGGGGGCTCTCCTGTGAGGAAGGCGACTGCGGCCTGCGGCAACTCTGATGCTCCTGCCTCAGACTCATCTCTAGGAAGAGCAGCTGCCATGGTTCTAATGTTCCATAAGTGCCTGTGGTTATGTGCCAAGCAGAGGGCCTACCCACACTTTATCCCTTTCCTAAAGGCCACCGCTGAGGCTCAGAGTTGAGTCCTGAGCCTGCTGGGGTGTGGAGCAGGTTGCTCCCTTCATCCCCAATTCAGCCGCTAGCCTGCAGCCATGTGCAGTAGGCATCATCCCAGCAAGCCAGGCCAGTGAGGGTATGAAAGCCTCCTCTAATTTGGAGACACTCCATGACATGGAGTATCTATTGAGTGCCTGCTGTATTCATGCAGTGTGAGTGTAGCTAAAGACCAGCAGATCCCAGAAGACAGGCACAGACACATATACACAATGGCTCTGAGCCGGGTGAGAGCTGCTCTGCCAACACACACACCACACACGCATGCATGCATGCACACACACATCTTCACACATGGGCACAGAGCAGCCCTCTCAGTCCTCTTGAGGCAGGATTTTACTGGCATGGAAACAGACCTCCCAAAGAAAAGTCTTGCCACAGACTTGTGGTGCTGCTGACTCGGGAGTCTGACGTCTGACAGGAGGCTCAGCTCCTAACCAGTCCCCTGCTACCCCCACCGAGACAGCCCCATCCCTCCTCTTCCTCTCGGTGCTGGGCCTGAGCTCCTTCAGCTCTGATGTAGAGAGACCTGCTCCCTGGGGAACTGGAAGAAGGGCTGCAGCAGGCGGGATCGATCTAGGCTGCCCGCGCCTTATCGGATTGTTCCTGGTTCTTCCCAGAATCCTCCTCCTTGTTTTCCTCAGGCCTGGTCCCCTCTGCCCATAGTCTGGGAGGCTGGAGAAGGGCAGAGGTGAGAGAGGGTTATCTCAGAGCTCACTAATGGCTCCTGAGCCCATTGGACAGGCAGCAGGGGGCACTCCCTGGCCTGAGAGATGGGAACCGCTTGGGAGCCTCCTCCTGTCCTTTACCAATCTCAATCACAGACAGCTCTGAATAAATGATCCCCCAACTCAACAGAGCCTGAGTATTAGGCAGAGGATCCTGGTGTCCGCTCACACGGGCTGGGCCCTCTCTTCTCTACAGTGTACCTCTGGGAGCAGCCTGAAGAAGTGACTTCAGGACCACTGCTCAGCCTGGAGGAACAGATCCTTAACTCCACATTTGAAGCCTGTGACCCTCACAAGACAGGTGGGGGCTGGGGAGCCACAGGGAGGGGTCCTCCAGGGGATGGAGTAGGAAGGACTTTTTTTTTTCTTTTTTTTTCTTAAAGATTTATTTATTTATTTATTTATTTATTTATTTATTTTTATGTATTTATTATATATACAACATTCCTTCCATGTATGTCAGAAGAGGGAACCAGATCTCATCACAGATGGTTGTGAGCCACCATGTGGTTGCTGGGAATTGAACTCAGGACCTTTGGAGGAGCAGGCAATGCTCTTAACCACTGAGCCATCTCTCCACCCCCCCCCCCACCAAAAGGAAGGGCTTAAGGCCTGCTGGGGAATTAGCCTCTAGCTGGGCACAGCAGGAGGTACTGTCCTGCCTCATGCTCTTTGTCTACTCTGAGATGGACTGGGAAACTTGACTCTGGGGAGAGACTTGCCCCAGGTTCCTCTGCATGTGGGGCAGGAGTGTCACCAAACCCATTGATGACAGACACTGTTCCCGAGCCATGGCCTGCCCCACTGGCAATTGCCCAGTTCAGTCCTCCCCACCATGCTCTGTCCCAGGCACTGTGGCTGTAACCCACCTCCTGGCCTACCTGGAGGCTGTGACAGGGCAAGGGCCCCAGGACGTGCGTCTCCAAACCCTGGCCCGAAGCTTAGACCCTTATGGGAAGGGTGATGGGGCGACTGTGGAGTTGGACACCTTTCTGGTAGTCATGCGGGACTGGATTGCTGCCTGCCAGCTGCATGGGTGAGTCCTTATACCACAGCCTCCCCCATGGGAAGTCTTGCAAGTTTGCTCTGCAGCTAGTACCAGTTAGACCCAGGAAGCCCATGTGGTTGACTTGAGGCTAAGAAAAGGCCTGTGAGAAGATATGAAGGGGTGAAGGGGTCTGAGACCTTGGATGGTGCAGGGGTCCAGGATGTACAACTAGAAAGGACTGACAGTAGCAAGAGCTGTCATTCACAGCCCAGGCCCTGCCATCTGGCCTCACCCTCCGCCCATAAAGCCACTCTCACCCGACTGCCCTCCCTTCCACCACCCAGACCTCTGCAGACACAGGTCATGGATATGGTGGCCGCAGGGGATCTGAGCCTCTTGCCTTTGATACAGGGGATTAGAGCGGGCAGAGGAGACGGCCTTCGGGGGAGCCCTAGCTTCTCCACACCTGCCATCTGGTGAGACTATTTATAGAAGGAGGCGGGTGGCAGGGGTCAGCGGGAGGGGGCGGGGGGTTAGCAGGGACCTCTCATCTGTTGGCTCTACACAGCAAGGGCTAAAGAGACAACTGGGGCCGTTGCTCAGCCTGCAGCTGTGGTGTCTCTGTGGGACAGTCCCCTCATCCTGGACATTGGGGTCAGGTTTTCCATTCCTCCGCCAGCTCCAGCCCTAGTGCAGAAGCTGAGGACACTGCAGCTTCTTGCTGTCCAGCTGAGGCACCTGCCCTGTGGAAATCTTCCCTTGGTGCAGGGCACTGTTGCCCTGTCAGGCTCCTCCTCTTGGCTCTGCCCACACACACCCCTTACACCTGCTGCCTTTCCTTGGGAACAGGCACCTGTCCAGCTGTATTCCAGCCCTATGCTAGGGTGCTGGGTGCCCAGGACCCCACACCTTAGAGGTGCACCTCTAAAAGTGGCCCTCCAGAACCCAGCCTGTAGCTTTCTTGGCATTCTCTTTTTCTGTTTGTTTGGTTTGGTTTGTTTGGGTTTTTTGAGACAGAGTTTCTCTGTATATCCCTGGCTGCGCTGGAACTCACTGTGTACAGACCAGGCTGGCCTTGAACTCACAGACTGCTAGAATTAAAGGTGCCTCCACATCCAGTTCTTGGTATTCTCTTGAACCTTGAGGCTTCTTCAGTCTTGGGGGCCAGGGAGGTCTGTGAGTAGCAGAGGGTTAGGCCAGGTCAAGTAGGGAAAGACAGAGAGAGAAAGGAGGCTTAGGCAGAGACTGGGGAGTGCTTAGGAAGAGGGTATGGGAGAGTGAGGGTGGGCATGGTGGTGTAGTCTAATGGGCTGGACTCAAAACATGACAGACTGGAGCTGATGAGTACCTGGGGAGAGCACCGGGCAGTGGTGGCGCACGCCTTTAATCCCAGCACTCAGGAGGCAGAGACAGGCGGATCTCTGTGAGTTCGAGGCCAGCCTGGTCTACAGAGCGAGTTCCAGGACAGGCTCCAAAAATACAGAGAAACCCTGTCTCGAAAACAACAATAACAACAAAACAAAGAAAAAAAAAATCTCTGGGGAAAGCTGGGACCAGAAGAATGGGGCTTGGGGAAGTAGAGGTACCCCTGGGGACTGGCTCTGAAGACCTGACTAGCTCCAGGCAAACATGAGCAAGCAGCCTGTGTAATAAGAGTAATTCAGCCCAGGGAACCCCAAAGCTACACATGGAGTCCTGAAACAATCTCAGAGTCCTTGGGAACCCCAATTTTTAAAGTCACTAGAGAGTCCAATCTCCTTTTGTTTGTTTCTCCCTTTCTAGCATGCCCAGAAGCTGAGGAGCCAGCCAACTTAGAGAGCTTTGGAGGAGAAGACCCCAGGCCTGAGGGGTGCTTGTCCTCCCCACCCCCATCCCACTCCATTTTCTCCAGCCTGTCTGGGGCCAGGGAGTGGGGAGATTGGTGTCCTTTGGCTCAGAGAAGCCTCAGAGTCTCATTCTGATTTGTCTTCAGAGGAACCTGGGAAGCTGGGGGGTGGGAGCAGGAGCATGGCTGGTGACCTAGGCCCTTGCTGCCCTCAGGCCTGCCACAGCTGAGCTGCTGAGCAGCCTGGAGGACCTAGAGCTCAGCAACCGGCGCCTCGCTGGTGAGAACGCCAAGCTGCAGCACAGTGTTGAGACTGCTGAGGAGGGTTCAGCGCGCCTAGGGGAGGAGATTGCATCCCTGCGCAAGCAGCTGCGAAGGTGAGAGCCTATGTCTTCCTTCCTGCCAAAGAGCTTGGGCCTCTGGTACAGGTAAGCATTCCACTGCCCAACCCCTGTCTTCCATTTCCCTCTATCTGCATCTTGCCTCTGGCCTTTGGGTTCATTCTGACTGTCTCCTTCCAGTTTTTGCTGTCATTCTCTGTCCTCTACCTCCTTTCTTTCTTTTCTGAGTGACCCCATGCTCCCTTCCTCCAGTGTCTCCACCCCACACTGCATGCCCCCGTCCTTTTCTCTCTGCCCCAGCTTAGCTTGCATCTGGTCATAGTCTCCCTCATAGTCTGGGATGTTCTGCTCTGCTTCTCTGCCTGCCTCCGCTCACATCTGTGCCACCCGTCAGCACCCAGCAGGCCCTGCAGGTGGCCAAGGCTTTGGATGAAGAACTAGAGGACCTGAAGACTCTGGCCAAGAGCCTGGAAGAGCAGAATCGCAGCCTGATGGCCCAGGCCCGGCACACAGTGAGTGCAGGCAGAGCACCTCTGCTTGCAGCAAAAGGACAGAGGTGAAGAGGCAAAGGTTACCTGACTCCAGGTCCTGTTCACCCACACTCCCCCCAGGCCTACCTGCCATCCCTCATGAGCCTCCTCAACCCAACTCTTGAGTGATGCAGGCCCTGACTGCACTCCATCCTCAGGGAGGATGGAGCAGGGCTGAAACTGATTCTATCCTCTCTGGGGTGGGCCAGGAGAAGGAGCAGCAGCACCTGGTAGCTGAGGTGGAGACGCTACAGGAGGAGGTAAGCTGAGGCCCGTCCTCCTTTAAGGGTTCCTGGCCCTGTCCTGCAAACCAAGGAGGCCCAGCATCCCACAGGCTGTGTTAGTCCCTGGGTTCGTGTTGAGGCCCTGGCCAGTTCTTCCCTTGTCTGCATTATGGTGCCCACCATCGGGAGCAAGCCAGTGGCTTCACTTCACGGGGTAGTGTGAGGTTTAAGCCAGAAGATGTTCAGAAAGTTCCTAACTCAAGATAGGAGATGTAGGGTGTGTGCAGTAAAATCCTGCAAACTGACATAGTGTTCCATGCCTGTCATCCCAGTATTAGGGAGTCTGAAGCAGGAGGATTTTGATTTTAAGGCCAGCCTGAGTTATATAACAAGACTATCTGAAAAAATAATCAGATATCATTATTTATATCAGTATGTTATGGGTTTGATCCCTGGCAGTGTAAGTGAAACTGTGAGGCGGTTTAAACGGGTTGTTTGTTTGTTTGTTTGTTTTGGTTTTTCAAGACACAGCTTCTCTGTAGCTTTGGAGCCTGTCCTGGAACTAGCTCTCGAACTCACAGAGATCCTCCTGCTCTTCCTCCTGAGTACTGGGATTAAAGGCATGCACCACCACTGCCCAGCTTGTTTAAACATTTTTTAAGCATAAGCTTTGAGGCCACTCCCAGGAGCACGATGGGCCACCTCAGGCCTGTGACTCTTTCCTTCCCTTGTAAGCTTTTGTTTCTGTTTTTCATTTTGGTGGTGTTGGAGATGGAGCTCTGGGCAACTAGCCACCAGGCCTGGGTGTTCTCCAGGAGCCAGAAGGAGCCTGCACAGTTGGGTTGTGTTAATGGTGAAGGGACGGTGTTTTCCTGAGGACCAGTCCCTACAACTGATTTAAGTCCCTGTTCACTCTGAGTTCTTGTCCACATTGAAATTCATCTAAGGTTAAATGATATCCCTCCTCCCCAAGGCAGGAGATCAGTTGCAGATCCATGGTGGGTTCACATCCCAGGCAGCTTCGGCCCTCACTTGACACCCATCCTCTGCTGTCCTTGCAGATGGACAGCCTTCGTTCCATCTACTTAGCCATCCATGGGCAGGCCAGAATTGCCTTCAAATCTGGGTTTAGCCCTTGTGCCACCTGCTGTGCCCGTCTCCTCTCCTGGGTCACCCAGGGGAACTGGCTGCTTTCCTGTGGAGACACAGAGCTGCGCCTGTGTGGTCTACCTCTGCTGCCCTGCAGTAGTTCTGTGTGAGCTGGGAGGGAAGCTCACTCAGAATCAGCTGTCCCATGGTTCCGAGGTTCCCCCTCCTTGCCAGTCATGGCTCAGGGCCTCTGAACCATTCTCTGGCTTTTCAGCCCCAGTTAGAAGTTCTCTGCTTTGTGGACCCTAGCTCCTATCCTGAGTCTCTGTCCTGTGTCTGTACCCTAGGTTCCACTTGTTTACTCTCCAATGGCGCCTTTGTAAACTGTTGTCCCCCTTCCCGGGCCATGGGAGTCCCTGGGCAGGACGGTTGCTGCCTTGAAACCTGCACTCAGATGGTGTAAAATAGCTTAGAGAACTTTTTTTTTAAAGAATCCATTTTATGTCTGGATGTTTTCTGTCTGTGCATCATGTGAGTGCCTAGTCTCTGAAGAGACCAGAAGAGGGTGTGGGATCCTCTGGAACTGGCTACAGACGGTTGTGAGCTACCATGTGGGTGCTGTGAATTGAACGTGGGTCCTCTGGAAGAACAGCCAGTGCTCTTAACCACTGTGCCATCTCTCCAGCCCCCAGAATATTTTTTTTTAAAGAAAGAAGGGAATCTTATCCCAACACTTGGGAGGCAGAGGCAGGCAAACTCCGTGAGCTCAAGGCTTATGTGGTCTAACAAGTGAGTTTCAGGACAACCAGAGTTATGTAGAGGTAGCCTGTCATCAAAGGAGGGAAGAATTAAGGAGACAATCCTGCAGGGCCCTTGTCACAGCTCCCAGGCACCCAGTTGTGATGGTTGTCCTGCCCTCTGGTGTCTGCAGCACCAGGGGCTGCTACATGCCAGATCTGCCCAAAGTAGTTTCTGATGTGTGGGTTATCTGATGGCTCAACGGCTTTTTTCTTTTTCTTCTTTTTTTTTTTTAAATTCTGTTTGTTTTTATGTATGAGTATTCTGTATGTATGCCTGCATGCCAGAAGGAGGCATCAGATACCATTATAGATGGTTGTGAGCCACCATGTGGTTGCTGGGAATTGAACTCAGGTCCTCTGGAAGAATAGTCAGTGCTCTTAACTGCTAAACCATCTCTCCAGTCCTGGCTTTTTTTTTTTTTTTTTTTTTTTTATTAAGTGAGAGTATGCTGAGAATGGAACCCAGAATCACATGTGTTAGGCAAGCAACACTGAGCCACATCCCCAGCCACGGGCTCCTGCATACCCAGTCTCTTGACAGCATTTTTTCCTGCTTGTGACCTCATAGTCACTGATGGCTTAATGCAGGTGGGAGGCACCAGCTCCCCCCCCCACACACACACACACGCATGCGCGCGCGCGCGCACACACACACACACACACACACACACACACACTCCTGCCTCTCTCTGCATTATGTCAACAGCCATCTTCACCATATCGTTGGCTGGGGAGGATCCCTAAACCACAGCTGCAAGGGAGCCTGGGAGGATATCTTGTCTTCAGTCTGGAGCTGAGACAGCCAGGAGGGGCTAGGGTAGCTGTTCCTTCAACAGCTGGGTTTCCTTGTCACTGCCCCCAGGGCATGTCATGCAACCAGCCAAAGCCAGCCCAGTGAACAGGCCACCAGCACCCCTGACTTCTGCCCCAGGCTCTGTGCCTGCAGAGAAATGTCCCTAGGCATCTAACTCTGTAGCTGAATCTATTCTCAGCTCCTTGCTGGCCTGCTGCAGCTACCCACTGGGATCTAGAGATTGAGATCTCAGGTTACAGCAGGGCCGGGGAGGGTAACGGGACACTCAGCCTCCAATGGTCTGACTGCTGGCTGAATCCCAAAAACCCACAGCCAGTGCTTCTGCAGGAGTCTGCAGGGTGTTTTTGGGTCCCCCCACCACCACCACCAGGTGGACAGGTGTTGACACAGCACTCCCAGCTGTCCTTCCTCTACCCTTCACCCAGGTAGCCCAGGCTGCTGCGGTGAAGGACCTGGGGCAGGGACAGGCTGGAGACCAGAAGAGCTGGCCTCTGTATCCTGGGCTCTCGAGAAGGATGAGGTTTGCCAGACTTCAGGGGCCTGGCCTGGGACTTTGAATGCTCATATCCTTCCTTCCTTCCTTCCTTCTTTCCTTTTTTTTTTTTTCCCCAAGGCTGGTTTCTTCTATATATCAGTCCTGGCTGTCCTGGAAATCACTCTGTAGACCGGGTTGGCCTCACAGAGATCCATGAGCCTCTGCCTCCCAAGTGCTGGGATTAAAGGTGTACGCGCCACCACCACCCAGCTGAAATGTCAAATTCTTTTATTTTGTTTTGTTTTTAATTTTTGAGACGGTCTTGTTATGTGGCCCAGGCTGGCCTGGTACTCAAACCAGTCCTCCCATTTCAGCTTCCCTGGTGCTGAGATGATAGGTGTATTTCCTCACACCCAGCTTTGAGCCATTGTATTCTTAGGTCCCACTGGGACCTCGCATCAGCCCTTTCCTGACCTCACTGCCTCCCCTTGGGAGGCTCAGCACAGGCACCCCCTCTCATCAAGCCCTGTTTGGGCCTCCTCAGTGAGGTTTACATTCTCTGCTTCTCACATGTCCTTCCCCCAGAGGCTGGGTATTAGAGGTGGGCTGGACATCACAGTTTGCTGAAGGAAATAATTGTACGAGTAGGTAAACACTAGGGTTGCTCCAGGGGAAACTGGACAGGAAAGCAAAGGATATGGATAAAAGAAGAAACCAAAATATAATTATTGGAGCCGGGCATGAAGATTAGGTATGGTGGCCCATACCCACTGAACAGGAAGATCACAAGTTCAAAGCCTGCCCAAGCTATATATTGATACTGTGTGTATGCATGTGTGCGTGTATGTGTTCTGGGCTCACCATACTTTCCTTTAGTTTTGTATGATAGGAACACTTATAGGAGGTGCGTGGCTCTGCTGATCTGCTCTATCTGTTGTCATTAGTAGAAGAGCTGTGTGGTCTGGAATAAATTCCTCAATCCCTCTGGGCCTGAGCTGCCTTTATCTTCAAAAATGGGAAGAGAGTTGGAATCCCCCGTGCAAAGTGCTTGGAAGTCACTATTTGCAGCGACCCCATGACATCCCCTGATCAGTGGGAAAATGGTCCCAGCAGGGCAAGGGGAGAAGAAAGGGCTAGCTGGGGTGCACATGGCAGTAAGTAAGCCAGGCTTTCCTCCTTCAGAACGGGAAGCTGCTAGCAGAGCGAGATGGCGTGAGGAGGCGGAGTGAGGAGCTAGCCACAGAGAAAGATGCTTTGAAGGTGCAGCATGTGCGGGACTGCTCACCTCCCCGCACCCAAGTCAGCACTGCAGCTGCTGAGAAGAGGCTCTTGCATCAGATTCCACACACCTCAGGGCTGCCCAGGCAGAGCAGCTGACCCCCATGGGTGTCACTGGAGGCTGAGGGGAGATGTGGGGGCTCTTGGAGGCTGGGTGGAGAATTGATAGGCTCCTTCCTTGGCAGCGGCAGCTCCGTGAGTGCGAACAGCTCATTTGTCAGCGTGAAGCAGTCCTCTCCGAGGTGAGGGCCAGGGCGGCAGACCTGCACTTGCCATGCCTTCCTAGCCCCTGCCTTGTGTGCCAGGAGCCCACCCAGCCCTGAGCCCTGGGCAAGCAGCCCAGACAGGCCTCCTTGGGTCTCAGGGTGGCCTGCAGAGTCTGGAAGCCTCTGCCCCAGGCTTTCCCAACTCAGCCAAACCCCACTTCAGCAGCTTCATGTCTTAGGGGACTGAACCCTGCCTCTGTTCCCCAGCGTACCCGCCATGCAGAGAGTCTGGCCCAGACTCTGGAGGAGTACAGAACCACCACCCAGGTAACAAGTACCCATCTTTATGGGGTCTCCGCATCTGCTGCCCTCCTCCCCACTAGACTGCTACATCTCTCTGCCCCTCCCTTCCTCACTCTGCATCCCACAGCACTCACCTCTGGGAGCTCCTGACCCCTCCCTGGGCAGTCTGCCCCGTGGCTCCATTGTCAGTTTTCTCTGAGTCTGTTCTGCTTTTGTGATGTTCCTGGCTGTGTTTTATGTTCTGGGCTTGGCTTCTGTGCTCTTTGGGAGTTTCTGCCACTGCTTCTTCATCCTTGGCAATATGTGTCTGGCAAGAGGAGCCCAAGATATGTGGGGCTCCACCAGAGACCATGCTCTGCTTCCTTGCAGGAACTAAGGCAAGAAATCTCAAACTTGGAAGAGCAGTTGAGTCTGAGCCAGGAAGGCCCAGAGGAGTGAGTGGATAGTCAAGAGGGGACAGGTCGCGGTGGAGGGGAGGACGGTCAGGCATGAAAGGGGCAGGGTAAAGGTTGCAGGCTGGTCCAAAAGATAGGACTCTCCTGTGTGGCCAGGCTCCTGGAACGGGCTGAGGTGGGAAGAGTAGGCTGGATCATGGCAGCACCCCCATCACTGGACCTGGAGATTCAGGCTATCCGGCAGGTAGGCTCTGCTTCCGTGGAATGTTTTAGAGGACACCAAGGCACAAACTCCATGTGCCCCTGTGCGGACCCTCACTTCTGGCTCATAGTCCCAGAGGGCCGGGCTCTTGGCACTTGGTGACTCTAGCTCACACTGCTGCCACGTAGCACCTCCCAGGCACCTGCCCTTCTCCAGCTTGCTGTGCCTCAACCTCAGCTGTGGAGACTCCCTGTGGCCATGTTCCCTAACATCTACCAATCTATGGCCCCATCACCAATTCCCTCTGCACCTTGCTCTGGCCCTGTATCTAGGAGCAGGATGCATCAGGTGTTGGCCTCTCCAGTCCTCTGTATGGAGTGTGGCAGTGGGAGGAGGCTGAGCCGCATGAGGAAACTGAGTTTCCCTCTGAGGTGAGCAGAGGAGTCTCTGAGCCACAAAAGTCCTGGGGCCCCCAAGGGGATTGCAGGATCCCACTGACTTTTCTAGCCCTCTAGCTCTGTTGTCTACTCCTGAGTTTAACTCTGAGGAAGCAGCCCCAGCCAACAGGACACACCCCTGCCCTCAAGGGACAGGCAAACTAAGCTACCCTGTAGAATCCTGTCATGATTCCCTTATTTACAATTGTTCATATTGTGGAAGATATGAAGTGTCTTTAAGAAAAGCTGCTGGGGCCAGGCAGTGGTGGCGCACACCTTTAATCCCAGCACTTGGGAAGCAGAGGTAGACAGATCTCTGATTCTGAGGCCAGCCTGATCTAAAGAGCAAGTGCCAGGACAGGCTCCAAAGCTACAGAGAAATCCTGTCTTGGGGGGTAAAAAAAAAGCCAAAAGCTGCTGGGCAGTGGTAGCATGCACCTTTAATCCCAAACTTGAGAGGCAGAGGAAGGCAGATCTCTGGGTTCGAGTTCCAGGTCAGACGAGCTACACACAGAAACCCTGTCTCAACACCCCCCCCAAAAAAAAGAGAAAAGAAAAGAAAGAAAAGCTTAGTACTTAAATAAGTCTGGGCTGCACAGAGACCCTGTCTAAAAAGGGGGGTTAGGGCAGGCAGAAAGGCAAATGTGGCAGCTTAGCAAGCTCACCGTGGTTAGAGTCCCTCTTTCCCTGAGGATAGAACCCAAGTCTGCACTGTGCAAGGCAAGTGCTCTACCACTGAGCAGAAGCCCCAGGGTGCCCCTGTGCTGGCTCCATACACAGCTGACACCAGACAGAAGTCAGCCCCAGTGGGCCAGCTGGTTCAGGCGACAGACACCTGGGACAGAGGTGGGAGACAGGGAGGGGAAGTGACCTTGTCTTAGGACGTTTAACCAGCCAGTGTGACTTGAGTGAGGAAGTAGGCAAAGGGGATTGTGCCTATCTCAGGCAGGGTAGGGACAGGGCAGGAGGGCAATGCTGAGAAAGGAGTGGGGGAAGTGACGTCTTAGAGGACATCTGGGGGCACCAGAGGTGGCCAGGTGCACAGGCTGGAGGTCACTGTTGGGATGGATGTGGTGACTCACTCTGCAATTCTGGAACTGGGAAGGCATAAGCAGGAGGCTTACCATGAATTTGAGGTCAGCCTGAGCTATAGAGTTAGATCCTATCTCAAAGAAAGAAAAATGTGGGGCAAGGTGGCCACACAGTAGAAGCAGGAGGAGTTCACGGCCATCCTCTGTACACCATGAGCTCATACCAGCTTGGGCAACACAAGACCCTGTCTCAACAAACAGAACAACAGTAACAAAAGTGTCAGGTTAGTGGAGTTTGTGACTGAGGTCCCAGGCACAAAAGAGACGTCTCTAGATCTGGGCCCTTCGGAGGAGCAGGGAGCAGCCTGAGTCCCACAGAGGGAAGCGAGGAGAACAGGCTGGTGGGCAGAGGCATCCTGGAAACATTAATGTCTGGTCCTCAGAAGGAGCTAGGTAGAGTTACCAGTGTCCATGGCACATGTGGCTTTTCCTTGGTGCTGAGAGGGACCCCTATGGGAAGCTTAAAAACTTGTATCCCTGGGGCCATCCACCTTGGTCTGGACCTCAAGTAGAGGGGGTCTGGCTGGGCTACTGGTGTGAAGATAAGGAGACTAAACCTTAATGTTCTGCAGAGAAACTTCCAGAGAGAGCCACTGCATGGTCTAGAAGGAAGCAGAACACCATCCTCAAGGTAAGGAGTAGGTTGATGGGTCCTCCCTCTGTGGATTCTGGCTGTGAGAGGATCAGGACCAATGGCACCCTGCCAGAATAAACATACCCCTCCACTCCTCAGTCTGTGAGCACATCCTGACCCTGGCAATTCCAAGAGGAGGTGGACACCTAGACCCCAGAGAGGCTTTCAGGGGCTATGGGGGGCACCCCAAAGACCAGCCTGGATGTTATAGGTTTGCAGTTGTTACCCTACAGGGAGCCAGAGATGCAGGGACAAGGCTGATAGACACCTTGAGGGCTCCCAGCCGTGGAAGACCCTGCAGGCTCCAGAACCAATCTTGGGCCCCCATTCCTTGAGGGTCCTCTATGACCCTCCATAGATCCCGGAGTCCAGCTGTGTGACTGATGGGATGTGTTTTGAGGCCTTACTCAGGCTTTGAGTAAGAATAGAAAACACTGGATGTCTGGTCACAGCGCCCCCGGCTTCCTGTGGGGTCCCCTCCTCCAGACTCCTGCTGTTGCGGCTAATGAGGCCCCTATACAACCTCTAATTGGACTTGCCTGGGCAGAGCTGAGATTGGCTGCCTGGGTGCTCTGAGCAGTGTGACCTCCTCCTACGTCATGAGGATAGGAGGAGGAAGGATGGGCTGCTATCAGCACATTTCCAGGGTGGCACCCAGCCCAGGACTAGGGTGACAAACACTGCGGCCCAAGATGGGATGAGGCTGGGGCCTGACCTCAAGGGGATGGGGACTCAACAGCCCTCAGCCCACATGAGCATTTCAGGGGCTCACACAGCAGTGTATAGTGGGCCTGGGTGGGAGCAACTGTGTCTCTGAGGCTACTGGCTTGATAGCAGGGGCTAGATCCCTGATCCTCAGGCATAGGCTGGTGTCAGGGGCACCTGGGTCCCTGTGGAGCCATCGGCCTCTGGAGCTTAATAGCAGGGCCTCCAAAGCTGTGTCCCTAAAGCAGAGGCTTGGGGAAGCAGGGGCTCGCACACCTAGAGAAGTGGTTTGGACTTGAGGATCCCAAATAGTGAGCTTCAGAGCTGAGAGAGGGGAGGTGCTTTCCCAGTCTCTGACAAGAGCTGAAAGACCAAGGCTAAGAAATGGCTTAGCACCCCCAACAGGGGGCCCAGAGTTCACATACCCTGGGGTCTCTGGTATTGGGGGTAAAGCACAGACTTTGTTTCTGCCTGGGGATCAGCTGGAAAGGGACAAGTAGGAAAGCCTACGTCAAGGGCTTCTCAGCCTTTGGGGGGTCACAAACTCCCAGATTTGATTGTTTTCAATCTCTGAAAAGTATACACAGGAGCGCCCATCAGACTGAGGTGGTGAGAGAACTGGGGGGGAGAGGTGTCCAATGACTCTGTTTGCTATAGGTTGTCCAGAAGACAGGAAGAAGAGGAAGAAGAAAGCTGGGTCCTGGTAGGCAATCCCTAGCACCCTTCCTATCCCTAAGAGCTGAGCATTAATTCCACCCCTTCCCCCCAGCTTGAAGTCCTCAGGAACAGACAGAAAATCATTTGGTCAGGCGATAACAAGGCCCTCGGTGCAGCTAATGAGAGGCGGGGTGGGAATGGAAAGGGGGAGGCTGGAGGCAGTTGCCAGCCAGGATGTTCCCCAGAGACCCCAGCCACATACGTATAGTCTGAGCCTGGAGCCTCACAGCTAACACTACACCCCCACTGCACCGCGAACTCCCACACAGTCCCACTCACCAAAGAACTAGTGGCCTCCGTGATTGGTCAGACGGCCTGGGCCTGGACAGCGCCACCTTTCTCCGTGGCTAGACAAAATGAAGGTCTCAGGCCAGCTCTGCTCAAGGGAAGGTAAAGGAACGCAATGAGAGATGAGTCCAGGGCTTGTGAGGGATGGAAGGCAGGCTCTGGAGTCCTGACCTGCCTGGTCACGCTCAGGCCCCGTCAGTGGGGAAGTCCGGCTCTTTTTCTCTGCCCTCAGCTCAGGGCCAGGCAACATGGGAGCAGGAGCTAGCAGTTGGGAGTGACATGCTAGTTGGTTTGTCATTGTCATGTCCACTGTATTAGGAGCAGATGTGGGCATGTGAAGCCCTGACTGGCAGAAAGGTTCCAGAGAGACAGGAGGAGTGGCAGCAGGCTGGCGGAGCCTTCAGTAATTGGCCACGGCATATGTGTCCAGCACAGGGACAGGCACCTGGAAACCCCTGCCCCGGAGGCTAGGGACTCAGAGGATCCGTCGGGAGGGGGAGAGCAGTCTAAAAGCTCACACCCTCATTGACCACTGCGTGGACACTGTCCTAGCCCTGCCTTCTTTCCCCCATTCTGTCAGCCCCGGGAAGGGGGGGCTGTCATCATCCCTGACCAGAGACATGTGGCCTCGTGTGTGTAGTCAGAATCCAGGGTGCTGCCCAAAACGCCTTCAGAATGAGTGAGTGGGTGTGCTGTGTCCTTTCTCCACCCAGGTTGGCCCCACCAGCCCTCTGGGAACCCCTGGCTATGAGCTTGACCCAGGAAGCTCTCCTGAGAGGTAAAGGGGACACATGGGAACTGGAAAGGGACCTAGGACAGACCAGACCTAGCAACCCCTCTGCCTTCCAGCTGTCAAGATGTGCCAGAGGTGCAGCAAGCCCTCTTGCCTGTGGTGAGAGAGCTGGTGCCAGTCAAGAGGCCCTGGGCCCAGCACTGCCTGCGCCCCCAGCACTCCCCAGGGCTCAGGTGTGCCCTTCAGGTGTCTCCAGAAGTGGGTGGGGAGCCACATGTTAATAATAAGACCAGTCTCCCTGGGGCCACCTTCAGCCTCTCCTGCCTCCCCTCCAGAATCAGCCAACATCCACTGGTCCCCACGCCTGTCTTGGGCCTGCTGCTGCTGCTGCTGCTCTCCATCCTGCTGCTGAGCCAGTCCCCGACACCCACTTGGCCACACCTGCAGCTCTACTACTTGCAGCCCCCACCAGTGTGAGACACCGTACCCCACTGTGCCTCCTTCTGTCCCTGATTCAGAGTCAGGACATGGGGCCAACATCCCTACGTTGTTTTTATGTGACCATGGCCTCTCCTGGCTTTTTCCTGTTTTCTTGACAATAGCAAATCATGCAGTAATGACTTCAGCAAGGGATGATTGCCTCACCAAACAAGTTCAGGGAGGAGGGCACCTGGGCCTCAGTTGAGTCACAGTGGGACCCAAGGTCCCTAGGCTTTTTCCATCCTCCTTTCCTGCTTCGGAAGCTGCTACTGCAGCATGGTGCTGGGCTGGGGAGAGCTCGCTGTCCCTGAGTTGTGTCTGTGTGATAGATGCTGCTGCAAGCGAGGCCGTGGACCAGGGCTGGCCCTGCACTGCAAGTGCACTGCCTGCTCAGTCAGGGCTTGTCTGAAGCAGGCAAACCAGAGGCTTCTCTCACAGCTCCTCATTGGCAACTCCACAAAACACTGGGTCACGCAAGACCCCCTGCTTGCAGGCCTCTGAGCCCTCGAGTTGCCAGACTCCTGTGAACCTTAAGCGCGCCACAGGATCCTGAGCCAATAACGCTGGCGGCATCCTCGGCTTTCCCATGATTTACCAAGACAGCCAAGTGGGGTGCAGCCCGAGAACACCACCCCCAACCCCACGCGTTCAGTTTTGAGAAGCGGCGCAGATGGGATACAGGCTGAGAAGTCGGCTAGCCTGACAGCCCGGTAGCGGGAAGGAGACCCAGGGGTGGGTGATCCAGGAAAGGCATGCTGGCAGCCACAGCGGGCTTTGCGAGTAAGATGCAGAGGTGGCAATGGAACCCCAGCCCACAAGCTGTCCAGGAGAGGGTTGAGAAGGGCAGGCCCAAGCACTGGGAACGAGACCTGTGGAGCGAGGTGGGGATGGAGCCAGGAGGTCTGAACCGATCCAAGTGCGGGAGGACAGCCCTGAGCTGGCGGGAAGGTGGAAGGAGCCGCGGGAGGAGGGGGTTTGGAAAAACGTGAGCCTGGTGTGATCTGTTGGAGACAGCGGTCAAAACTCGGAATTCTGGGCGTGAGGTAGCGCCTCATTACCAACCGCATTGCTGTAGGTGCCGCTCGCTAACCGGTACTGAGCGGTATCCCGGGCTTCCGCGCAGCAAGCAGCAGCTCCGCCCTCACAGCGTAAGGGCCAATGAGGATTCGGTCCGCCTCCAGGAAATGCAAATATAGGAGGGCGGACTCTCCGGCCTGCTCTAGACCAATCAGGGCGCGGTCCGCTCGCTCCGTGTGCTCGCCGAAAAGACCAGTGGGGGGGGGGGGGGCAGAACCCCGCGAACTCCAGCGAAGACCTTGGGGACCTCCTGGGCCAGTTGAACAACAGGCCCAGAAAGGTTAAGAAACTCCGACCCTATCTGGGAGTGGCGTGGTGGCACACGCCTTGCAGAGGCAGACAGATCTCTGTGAGTTCGAGGCCAACCTGGTCTACAAAGTGAGTTCCAGGACAACCAGGATTGTAACAAAGAGGAACCCTGTCTTGAAAAACCTAGGAAGGGGGAGGAAAAAAAAAACCTGACCCAGGCGGTGGTGACACTCGCGTTTAATCCTAGCACTTGGGAGGATCTCTTAGTTCTAGGCCAGCCTGGTCTACAAGAGTGAGCTCCAGGACAGCCAGGGCTTACACAGATAAACCCTGTCTCGAGAAAGAAAAAAAAAGAAAAAAGGAAAACCTCGACCCGTCACAGAGCTGGATCAGGGCCCCACGACTGTGATAAAAGGAGAGCAGAGTGGCGACGAGATCTGGAGAGGGCAGAGACTCGGAAAGGGACCCCGGAGGCTGCGAAAACCAGCGAGGACGAGGAGGGGCCCCTCCCCATACACCCCTGCCGGGGCGGCTCATGAAGAAGGCGCAGTCGCTGCGGGGCAGGCTCTTTATTGGACTCAGGGCGCGTCCAGTAGCAACAGCTTCTGCATGTACGAGTCTAGCCAGCGGCGGCGCTCCAGGGCTGCTAGCAGACGCGCGCGTTCCCGAAAGGCTGCGTCGTCCGCTAGCGCCAGGCTGCGCCGAGACAGGGGAGTACCCAAGTCCGCCCAGGCCCGGCCTGGGGCACGGAGGCTGCGGGAAGAGAAGTGCAGTGGCTGAGCACCAGGCCCCACGGACCGCCAGGCCCCACTGCATTCTAACGTCAAACCCACCTCCACCCCCGCGTGTTATCTCTCCTTCCCTTGGGGTGTCTCCTCCCTTTCCTGGGAGTCGGGGGACCTCACACCTACCTGAACACACCAGTGAGGGGCAGGGCAACACCCGAGGCAGGGCCGGTGCCCCAGGGCACAAGCAGCAGCAGCAGCAGAAGCAGCAGCAGCCGCTCTCGGGGGCTCCTGGACACCTGGCAGGTCTCCATCACCTGTGGACACAGGGGACAGGATCTCGATGTCGTCATACAGCCCTGAACCTGGGAGCCCACCGTCCAACACTCACCATCAGCCTCCCGCCGGGCACCCTACCGTGCTGTTAGCTCAGGCAGCGGTGCTCACAGCCCCCCTTATATACCAGCACAACCCCCGCCTTGGCAGTGACGCAGGCCGGGCAGGGGGCGCAGGGTCACTCCACCCCACGCTCATTAGGAGCCGCCAGCGGTAATGAGAAGCCTGGTGGGGGCCTCTGCTGCTGTGGCCGCCACCAACTAATTGGGACCCAGAGCTGGTACTGAAGAAGGGGAATGGGGGAAACAGACAGAGAGAAGGACACAAGGGGTGTGTCAGAGGGATAAAAATAGAGACTGCAGAGGGGAACCATTAGAGCACCAGTCGGGGACACAAACAGAGGCAGAGAAGAGAGAGAGCAGAGGAATCTGAGAGGAGAAAGAGGGAAGGAATAACTTCCAGGCAAAGACAGGGTGCCCTCGGAAGGAAATAACAGGAAGAGAGGAAGGCCTGAGGGCTCTGGAGATGGAGAGGTAGGCTGAGAGAAGAGGGTGTGGAGAGGATAGGAGAGCTCAGCAGAGACAGGCAGGGGGAGAGGGAGAAGAGCTAGCAGTGTGTAAACAAGTGAAGTCACCCCTGTGAAGCAGGACAGAGAGGCCCCGGGCTTCCACAGGGTTGTCTTACCCTTCCTCCCCCACCCCCGGGACACCTGGATGTGGTGAAGATAAGGCATGTTTAAAGGGGGCTCCCAAGGACACCCCATAGTGCAGTACACCTCATGTCAGCACTCAGAAGGCAGAAGCAGGAGAATCACCGCAAATGTGAGGCGTGTCTGTTACAAAGACTGTCTCAAAGGAGGGGCAAAGGAGGGGGGCGCAAGCTTGAGAGGAGAGGTCCAAGCCTGGGATCCCAAACCTGAAGGTGGTTAAGACAGGGCCTCAGACCCTTGGGTTCTGGCAAGGGGGTCACCTGGAAGCTTGAATTCTTTATTGTGAAGGGGACAGAGTCACCTAGTAGGATCAAAGTGGAAAGGTACCAGGGACTTGGGTTTGGTGGGGAAATTGGAAAGGGCCCAGGACTTTTTTGTTTTCTTTTTCTTTTTTTATTAACTTTATTTTATGTGCATTGGTGTGAGGATGTCAGATCTGGAACTTGAGCTACAGACAGTTGTGAGCTGCCATGTGGGTGCTGGGAATTGAACCTGGGTCCTTTGGAAGGGCAGCCAGAGCTCTTAACCGCTGAGCCATCTCTCCAGCTACGACTTTTTTGTTTTCAAGACAGATTTCTCTGTGTAGCCCTGGCTGTCCTGGAACTCGCTCTGTAGATCAAGCTGACCTAGAACTCACAAAGATCTGCCTCCCAACTGCTAGGATTAAACATGTGTACCACCACTGCACAACTGGGCCCAGGGCTCTTATATATGGGGAGTTTGTTTTGTGTCTGTTGGGATGGTAGTTTTCAGGAGGTTTTTTGTGTATGTTTAATTGGTTGGTTTTATTTTTGTTTTCACACTGCAGCCCAGGCTGGCCTGGAACTGGTTCTGTAGCCCAGGATGGCCTCAAATTTGTGGCAGCTTTCCTAAAAGCCTCAGCCTCCCAGATGCTGGAATCAAAGGCATGGACCACCGCCTGGCTCTTGTTTTATTTTGAGACAGTCCTGCTAGGTAGCCCAGACTGGCCTGGCTCTCACTATGGTCACGCAAAGATGGCTTTGAACTCATAATTCCACCTCAGCCTATCAAGAACAGGGATCACAGGCCTGTACCATCATGCCTGGCCAAACCTTGCCTTCAAAAGGAAAATAATTTGGTTAAATCCTAACTTCCTTCTCTGCCATAATGATGAGGTCCTATGTCTGTTTCTTTAAGAACCTCAGCTTGTTGCTAGGCTCCCAGGATTCCCCAGGGAGGGGGTCAGGTGCGTCACCTGTGTGCCTCTGGGACCCTAGTGCCTGCCCCTTCCAGCGCCATTCGGCAGCACTCCCTGCCTGCCTCTTTGTCCAGCGCTGATCATCTGTTGCTGTCCTGGACACCACTGCACAGGTAAGAGACCCCGTGACCCCGTCCCACCCACGCTCACTCCATCTCTAGGCCACCACAGAAGCCATGGGTCCATCCTCTATAAACAGGGACAGAGTTTACTGTCCTGCCTCCTACCCCATCAGGCCGAGGAGTCCACACCTCACATCCCTACTTCTCAAAGGCCTGGAACACAGATCCAGACATCATCTGACCCATGGTCCAGGGATCCCATGTCCTCCCCCCCCCAAAAGCCTGGAACACAGATCCAGACATCATCTGACCCATAATCCAGGGATCCCATGTCCTCCCCCCCCCAAAGGCCTGGAACACAGATCCAGACATCATCTGACCCATGGTCCAGGAATCCCATGTCCTTCCCCCCGTAACCCTCAGCCCTTCACTCTGTGGGACTCAGAACCCAGTAGCTTCTTTTCAGGGCCTTGGAGTCTTCCTCAAAGACTTCCTCTAACTCAGCTTGGGTCCCCAGCATCCTGGGAGGAGAAGGTCTCCCCATGTCCCCTTGGCCATCTGATACCTTCTGAAGGTAGAATCTAATATTTGTGGGGCCATGGTATCATTATGTCCCAACT